AGCCCAAATCGGGGACAGCAATTCAGTTAGTTGATTTTCGGAAGTCTAAAAAAATGACAGCTTTAACAAATAACTTCCTCACTGCTAAGTGAGTAGAGCAGAGTTTAAAAACTCTTGCTCTTGACAAAGAATGAGGCTGGCAGGATGCCTTGAAATTATTTAAAGTAGTTATGCTTAAAACAACCTAATGTGCTAACTGTATGTACTCCCACCCCACAATATATAACATTGTGGAGAAGCTCAACCTTGCAAAAGCACATCATCTAATCACATGGCTTTGGTGGTTAAGGCAGAAGTGTTCTGCCCTTTGCAAGATTAACACCCCACCCCTGAGGATTTGTTTGCAGTACAGAAAGCATACTGCATGTGATTAGATAGAATGCAACTGTCTTTGAGGAGCAAGCATTGAAGAACTCCTGCCAGGAGCTTCTGAGACAAAAAAATGTGGCTGCTGGGTCTCATAAGGAATCGCTCCTTAAATTAGTACAAATGTTGCTTTACCATTTCTTTTCTTGCCCCTACCCTTTTTTTGGTTTATACTTCTCTTGGATTTTTAAAGATTGTAGGATGTACATAACTTAAGACTGCCTCGTCTCTTAGCTTCTTTCTGTTGCTTGTGAATACACCAACACCACTCTCTCAAAACTGGTGGTTTTTTACACCAACTTCATACTTAAGAGCACCTTCTCTTCTCCTTTGAACCAAGTGACCTTTCCCTTCAAATTCCTCCTCTTACACTTACTATTCCCAGATTTGTGACCTTCATGCTCTCATTAAAAAAATATAGACAAAGACTATTAAAAAAAACCCCATGTAAATCTAAAGCCTTCCTAAGTAATCTCTTAAGAGCAGTTCCTTGTTTCTTCTTCCCCCACCTTCTCTCCTAGTCTGTTCTCATTTATCCTTTGATTACAGTTTATGCTGCAAGTTTCTTAAGGCAGGGTCCCTGTGTTCTTACCTGCCTGAATATTGCTTGCATAATACATTTACTGTTTCATATTTAATACATTAGTGGATTTATTCGGAATTACTTTCTTCAGTAATTTAAAATAAGCCTGGAAGATGTAATTGCTATATTTTCATAGAGAACATGTAAGACACATGCACACAATCTAAAATGATTAATTTATAGTCTAAGAGCGGGTTGTCAAATTTGAGGATTAATACTGCTGCCACAAGGCTGCTGGAGCCAGTTTTAGTGCAGCTAATGTCACTACTGCTTGCCCTCCACTTTTTCCCCTGGTGCAGACGTGAGTTACCAGCAGCAACTTAAAACCCCAATTCAGCAGTGGGCCACGGTGGAGGGGAGAAGCAAGGAACTTTAAATTCCCTGGGTTCTGGAGCTGAGCTGAAAAAGCAGCTCTGACAGCTGTGGGGATTAACACAAGCCCCCTGGGCCAAATCCAGCCCACAGAGGTGGGTGGGATGGGCCAGCCCAAAGAAGCCCCAGGGGTTGGATGATCCACCTCCACAGGCCTGTGTTTGACACCCCTGGTTTAAGAAAACAGTAAGCAAGAAAACAGCAGAGTTCCCAGAGAGAAGTTCCTTCTCAATCAGGCTGCCACAACTCATAGAGCAAAAATGGCTACTGTCTGTCCAGGCAGGCAGTTGTTAGATATTAAAAGCTACATCACAGAGGAGAAAAAAAAAGTATAGCACATTTCAAATAATAATATGTACTACATTGATGAGACAGTTCAGAGGGGGAAAAACAGGCAATCAAGGGATTTCTTTGTGATGTACACTACTCTGCTTATCCAATACCCAAGGCACTTGGCAGAGAAGGACTGGTAGACAGCCTAGTTTTAGAAGATGAACAGCGAGAAGTGTGCAGAGCACAAGCTAAATTGAAAATCACTCTCTTTCAGTGTATTTTTTCCTATTTAGAGGAGTCAGTGTAAATATATGGCAGACCACAAGCCTGTTTAATATATTTTCCTACCTTTCTATGGTTGCTTCCACTATTGTAAACAAACAATATGCAAGACTTAAGAGTCATTTATGACAAATTCAGTAAGACCAGAGAAAGTACTAAAGTTTGATTTTATAATGGTCAGACAAGACTCCCATTTTGCTGCTGACACCTGGGGGAAAGGTTTGCTATTCCAAAAGAGGGACAGAGAGAACTTTAAAGATTACTGGAGGACCAAATTGGATAACAACTCTTGCCAAGTTTTATCTTTTAGCTTCCAGAGATCCAAACCAATGAAGGTCCATAATTCTTAGCTTTGAAAACAACTTAACGTTAGTTTGAAACAAGATGACTGAGTTCACAAACTCTCCACATCTCCTATTTTTAAGATTTATATCATCATAACTGTAAATAGATCCACATAATCTAAAATCTTGCATCAGAATCACATGGCCTACTTTTTTTTTTTGAGAACCTTCGTCTCACTCTGGGAATCTTCCTTATGCCAGGTTGTTGGCAAAAAACAATTAGGAGAAAATTCTAGAGTTGAATGTAAAATAATTGCTAATTAAGGATTAGACAAATGATACATAACATATTTAACATCTCTCTCAGGACACAATTCTACAGTTTTGATCTGGCTACAGGTCAATCTTCAGTGTAATGTCTTATGACATGTCATTAGCATGTGGTAGTAGGAAATGAATCAGAAAAAGGGAGAGCCCACTTAAATCAGATTAGTGAAAAAAATGACAGTGGCAAAAAAAAAATCAATGGAATTCAAAATAAAAACAAGCAAGCTACAATATTATAATTCGATAAGTGACCATGTTACTCTAACTTATTTTTTATATTAAATGTATTAATTCTGACGTGACTACAAATTAGGATTTGTTTCCAAAGATATCCATGACTCATGATTAATCATTCAAAAGTTGCTCATTATCCATGAAAATTTCACAAATTTCTAGTAACTAGGATTTACATATAGCTTCTTCTCTTTCCCCTTTCTTTGCTATTGCCTACATACATAACACCTCCACTAAGAAAAGTTGGGAGCAAAGTGCCAGTCACAGATGTTCCAGAATTTGTACTTGAACCCACTAGATAACACCAAAACAGCTAACTGAAGATGAGAAAACAAGATTGTGCACAAAAAGGAAGGGCAGAAACCTGTCTTTTTTAAATATGCATAAATTTGTGCTTATTTTTCAAATGCAAAACAATTAAGGTTTGCTAGAATCTCAGCAAGGACATATTTGTGGATAAAATACCTTACTTAAGCGCACATTTGTTTTCAACCGATACCATTGATTATTTAGAGGAAAATCAGGTGATCAAAGGATTTATTTGTGATGTACACTGGACTGCTCATCCAACTCCCAGTTACACTTAGATTTATAGTTAGGGGGCTGGAAGGGACCAGTGTTTAACTAGCTTCAGAGTGAGAAAGTTCATCCTAATAGCCAACCTATATGTCCCTTGTTGGAATTTAAGACTATTACTCCTTGGTCCTGAACAAGTCACTTAATCTCTGTACCTTCCCTTCCCTTATCTATATAGGAAAGAAAATAAATTTCCTTACCTCATAGTAAAGAAATTCATTAACATTTGTAAGGTACTTGGATAGTGCAGTGATGGGCCCTTATACTTATTTTTCACAGGTTTATCTTTAATTTGAAGGGGTAACTGTATAGCATTGACCTTCCCACTCCTCAAAAGAAATACCAAAAACCCCTATGCGGTCCAGGATTTAATATAAAGAAGTTTCCTGTTAACACCAGAATTCTGTACATAACAAAGAATGCATGTTAACTAACCCACTAGTGGCAGAATTTTGTGCACACATGCTAATTTAGAACACAAAAGGAAGACTTAGATCATGCATTTCTTGATGTGGTCTACAGCAATGGTATCAACTCACTCTGAAGAGTAGACATTCAGTTTTTCATTAGAGCCTTGCGCTGATATACAAATGTAAGACAACAAAGTGCTTTCAACCCCAACAGATCTCCCAATTGTGCTCAAGGAAACAATGTGCCTTTTATACAGAAGCTAAAGTTGTAGTTATTTGTTCATATGTATGTATGAAATTCAGAATCACTTGGTTCAGAATCACTTGGTTCACATTCAGAATCTCCTTTTCAGATCATTGCTATTTCTGCCCTTTGTTTCTCCTCTCTTCCCCGATTCTCTTCTGTGTATGCTCCCATCTAGTCTTATGCGTATCAGCTTATTGTCGTTGAGACAGAACTTCAGTGTTCAGGAGCTTAAAATGTATATGTAGGGCCCAAAACTTGAAAACTGGACACTGTACTAACAAATTTTACATCAAGTCATCCAGCCAAATTATTAGTTGACAGGTCAACGACAACAATCATCTAATGTTTTCATATTGTTTTAAGACTAGTAGAACTCTTCTGTGGACCCACCTATTTGCATCCCCAAGCCCCCACTCATATTTCTACTGAGAGTGGAATGGCAGGTGCAGCACATTATATCTAATATAGAGTTAGAGGCAGAAGGATACTGTGGAGAAATGGAATGAGGATAGAGAAGATCCTGAAAGGAGAAAACTTAGGTTCATGTTATGTTACCTAATGAAGACAAATATCTGTAAAAGGTAAAAGTAGAACATTAGTTTATGTTCTCTGTATTTTAAGGGTGCTGTAGGTCAGGAAACAAAAAGCAGAAAGGAACCAGACTTTCACTGAAACTCACTCAGCTTATTTACAGGATTAAAAATCAGTAAGCATTTTTAACTACCAGCTATGGTCATGTTTTAGGACTGTGTGAAATGGGAATGAAGGGTGTTTCATGATAGTAGACTAGGTTATCAGAACCACGTAATTTGGTACATAACAGCACAGAATACACAGAGCCCTATTTATACTAATGGTTTACTTTACGTCTCATAACTCAAAGGTTTAATATGTTCTCAGTTTTGCAAATAAGCTCCAAGCAGCCCCAGTCTTAGCTTCAATAAAAACATTAGCTGTTAGGGATGATCCCCTACTTCATTCAAATTGATTAGAATTAATATGGTGTTATTAGTTTAGGAATTCTAAAAAGCAAGAATTCAGACACAAATGGAAGAGTAAATTTTATTGAATGATGAAAAACTAATTATGGCATCATCAGCAAATATTAACGTTTGAGCTCTGCTGGAATACTAATTTTCTACTTTTTTTCTTTAAACTAACAAAGTGCAACAAATTAGAATATTAGTCAAACTAGTAGTTGTTAATTTCTTTCAAAAGACTGCATAGTTTAGCAGTTGTACAACAAATATATACATTTCTGCAAAACCCTGAAGATTTGATTTTTTTCTTTTTTTTGCTTTGAGCTTGGTGTGGCAAGTGAGATCACCTGCACTGGTCAGATTCTGAGTTTCTTTTCCCTTTTTTCCCACCCTGTAGAGGAAAAAAAAAAGTCACAGCAAATAGTTAGCAAATAAAAATACAAACATGACATTTTCACATATTTATTTAAGTAAGAGAGAAAGAAGTAAGGATTTGGGGATTTTTTTCCCCTAAATCTTTCACTTATCTGGCATTTTACATACAGACATCCTCATGTGGTCCTATAAATTAAATTAGGTTGAAAAACGTTCCTGTCTCAAGACACTTACAACTGAAGAAAAAACTAGACATTATAATTAAGGATTACAGCACATGTTCTCTCTCGTTTTTGAGAGCATAAAATCTTCTTGGAGAAGATATGTTTTAAAACAATATTTGAGTAAAGAAAGTGGTCGTCCCCCCTTGACGGGGAGATTTTCTATACAGTGTTTGCAAAAGCAGTAGGAAAGTGGTTTTGATGGGCAACCTAGGAAAAAAATGGAATTGTGAGATTCCCCCAAAAGAGGACAAGCTTCAATTCTGCAAGAAAGCAAGGAATAGACAGCAAGGAGATTTAAATGAGAAAGACTGAATGATACAAAAGGAAAGCAGCATTTTGAAAAGATACAGAGAGGAGAAAGCAAGAAGATGGTTATCTTTTTTCACTTTCACAATAAGACAAATTATTTTTGCAGCAAAGGAAAATGGATTTTGGAGGGTTAAAGAAAGAAATTAAATGACTAGCAGTAGCCTGACTATGAGTGAAAAGCTACAGTAAATGAAGTATGAGCTCATATAATAAACTGAGTGATGTCATGGCGATGAAGGGGAGAAGGCAGGAGAGGAGTGTTGTCTTGTCTTTAAGTTTGTAAGGGGTACATCATCCTGAATGTCTGAAAGAGCTGGAAATGTGAGACTGACCACAGGGAGAGATTAAGGTGTGCATGTCCATATATTTGGGAGCTATCAGTATAAAAAAAAATTAATGGATGAGTTATATCATGGGAAGTGCAAAGAGGACAGCAGAGGCCACACAGAGAAACTGCGGAATAACAGAAAGAGAAGATGGTATTATAATGTAATGAGAACAGTAGGATCCACTGCATTGTAAAAAAAGCAGTCATATTCTAATATGAGTTCATTGACATGAAATCAACATGAAGTATTGCAACACAAACAATGTGTTATGACTTGAAGACAGGCATCATTCAATGTATATCCTAAGATTATTCAGCTACTTCAAAAACTTTCTATAATCTATATATATTAGCTTTCCTGGTAACCAAAGCAATACTTCCTTTCAACGTGGTATCTCAAGTCTTTATTCAAGCAAGTACTCTTCTAGGAAAGAGTATAGTACCTTCTTATGGTACTACACTGTATCTGGGAGTACTAGCAAATGGCACTTAATTTATCTACTGTGCAGTAATTGCTGTGTATGTATAGATGGTGATGCTTTATTGTGCATTAGATTAGTCCAGGGGTAGGCAACGTTTTTTTGGCCGGAGTGATGAAAAACCACGCTGTCTACCTTGGAAGGTGCCAGAGTGGCAACATGCCGGAGCCCGGAGCAGCTGTTTGCAGCCTCCCAGCTGCAGCCAGTAAGTAACTTCATTCTATTCAAGATGCTCAGAACCAAATGATTTAAAGGCATGCCAACTGAGGGGCTGGTTCATGTGAAAACTTCAATATATTAGATTTCACTAACAAAAAATGCCTTATTGCCTAGACAAGTAGAAAGTGACAAAACTAAAGAGTACAGATCAGTAAATTCACACTTCTACTGACTGAAGCAAAATGACAATTCAAATTCAGTCTACTTCAGGGGCTGGCTGGCCACAGACAGAAGCAACCTATCAACAAACTAAAATATAAATCTGAGGCCTGTACTTAGCTTCTGGTTATCTGTCCCAGATTACATGTAGCATGAAAAAAAATCAACTTCCAAATCTATAGTTTCAGCTTAGCTACACACAGTCAGAAGTTATAACACTACTTAAGTAAAAGCACACATACCTGATATTTTGTTATTTCTGCTTGTAATAATTTCACTTTTGATCTTTCTTGTTCTAATGCAGCATGAAGCGTAGTCACCTAAAATGGTTAAAAGAATTAATTACCCTGATCAGTGAATATGCTGTACACATCTATAAAGTTAATAAACTAAATATTTTAAGCATTTTTTAAAATTACGGTATTTGGAAGAAGTATAAAAATATTTGCTCAAGAAAGTGGCTCTTAATATGATATTCTGAACTGACAAAGTATAAATATTGTTTAAGTTACTCTTTGTTCCTCAGCACCCTATTACTTTTTTGCATAATGAGATATGAAAGTTACTGGAACTATTTTTTCAGACTTTAGCCACTGTAATAGCTGCCTGATATCTGTGGGCGCGTCTACACGAGACACTTTGCTGTGCATTAGAGTAATCCAGGGGTCAGCAACCCCCGGCACACGTGGTGAGCATTTTGCTCAGCACACCACCGCCAGCCTGGGCTCTATGCGGCTGCTGCCAGCCACGAAGCCCAGGCTGCTCCCAACAGGCAGCTGGGAGGCTGCAAACAGCTGCTCCGGGCTCCAGCAGGTCGCCACTCCAGCACCTTCCAAGGTAGATATTGTGGTTTTTTTGGCACTCCGGCCAAAAAACGTTGCCTACCCCTGGACTAATGTAATGCACAGTAAAGCATCACCATCTATACATACACAGCAATTACTGCACAGTAGATAAATTAAGTGCAATTTGCTAGTACCCCCAGATACAGGTACTAGAAAACAGCGCTTTAAACTACTGTGGTGTAGATGCTGACTGGGAACAAATTGCTCCTGGTTAGCCTAGGCAGTAAGGGGCCACAACAGCTGCTTGGCTATGCCCCAAGTTCCAGGGCAGACAGAGGGAACTGTCCTGACTGGGGGCAGCTCCAAGCTGGGCGGAGCTCAGGATCTCAGCCCAGTTCAGCAGCACTGGCTTGGGGTGATGCTCCATGCCTGAGCAGCAGCAGCACCCTGATCTCTCTCCTCGCTTTGCTTGCAGGCAGTGGAGGAGCCCGGAATGAACTTCCTGGATCAAGAAAGGTAAGGAAGCACCCACCCACTTGGTGGCCTCGAACCCTGCTCCAGTCTCTGGGGCCAGCTCTTGATGAGTGCCTTCCTCTGTTCCTCCGGGTCGCTCTGCTTCCCTAGGCACTCGGCTGGAGGGAGGGCAGCAACAAGCTGGGATCCCCTGGCCCATGTCCCGGCTCCTGCCCAGTGCCAGGGAGAGGCAGGAGCTGAGCAGCACCAGGACTGGGGGGGTGGGGCATGAGGGTCCTGGGTGGGAGCTGCCCCTGGAACCGGGACAGTTTCCCCTGCCCCCTGGGACTGGCCCCAATCTGTGCAGTTGGGAGGGAGTTGGCCCTGGAGCCAGGAGAGCTCCCCCCTCCCCCCGGAGTCTAGACCAGACCCTTGTGCCCCATATTAGCATGGGGCTGGCACCCAAGGGAGCCTGGAGCTTGCCCTGGCTGCTGTAGGGGTGCAGAGCAGGGCAGGAGCAGCCCTGAACTAGGCTGCTCCTGTTGGGCTCAGTTTGGTCTCAATGCAGGCACACGCGCAGACATATGGCCTAGTTCACCTGAATTTTCTGCGCAGAAAATTCAGACACATTAATTGCATGTGTAGACATGCCCAGTATACCATAACTACTGTAATATGATGTAATACAAGGGATGAGGCAATTATATAATTCTCAGATGTTATCACCAGAAGATTCAAGAATTGAGACCAATTTATACTACATCAACATAATACTACATAGCACATGTTAAGTATCGAGTAACATTTAATGTAAACTCAAAACAAGTATGGTTAATGACCTCCTCACTCCATTCTATTGTGGCTTAGCCCCAGACTGTTAACTATATTTAAGTTAAGCTTAGAAAGCTATTGCCTTTTTATTAGTAAATATTTTTTAATGCAACATTCCACATTTTTTTTAAAAATTACTGTAAAAGAGTTGCTGTATCTCATATGTCATGTCCATCAAGAAAGCATTTGACCAGAAGGGGAATTCTATCCATTTCTTTGCTTAAATCAATTTTCACTTCGGTATTATATAATAATTTTTAAAAATATATATATTCACAAGATCTTACGCGTATAAGAAATCTTTGCATACCTGTAAAGTCAACTCATTCTTGATACTCTGTGATTCATCAACCTGAAGTAGTATTTCTGCTTTATCTTTCACTACATAAAAACAAGAAGAGAGTTAGGATCTTTTTCTCCTTACAAGTCTCCACTTGTAACAGTACCGGGACACTGCTGGATTCTATTTTCTATCACCCACAGATAGTTTCTTCTGTCATTAGTAAGGGCTGGAACAATAGCTGGGTGCCAAATTTCAACACCAAAAGCCTGTGAGGATACGAAACTTTTTAGGCTCCAATCCTGCATTGAACTGCCCAGGCAACTGCCTGTGCTTTACAGGGTTTCACTAACTCTGCTGGCTTAGCATGTAAGCTCCCTTTGCAAGATTATTTGAGCCTGGCTGGAGCATCAGGTAATAAGCTTTCAACAGTTATGACTATGTTGATGTACAAACCTCTACTACAATTTGAAATATTTAGGAGAATGAGAACAAGTTGCACTTTCACATCTCATTATCTCCTTTGAAATGCCTGTAGATCCTTCATAATTCTACTCAAAAAAAAAAAAAAAAAAAAAGAGTCCTTCTAACTTTCAAACTGGGAATTTTCCAGGCTCAATTCTGCCACAGCAAAACCAATTTTCATAAAAGATCATACCAAGTAACTTTTCCTTATTAGGGGCTCACTGTCAAAGTAATCTTTCTAGTTTCAACAATTTCAGAAGAAAGAAACATCTGGTAAAAACAGTCACAAGATTATTATTTTATAATTTAGTACTATTTCCACAATAGTACTCTAAACCAATAATTTTAAAGTTTCTCTGACCAAGGGCTTAGGCTGAAAAAAGAAAGTTTCAGCAAATTAGGAATCACAGTACTGCACATTCTGAAGCATTGTTAAGTATAGTTGCTGTAATAAACTAAATGGTACATTGCAGCATCCCCAGATCCTGGAGAAAAATACAGAATTTCTTCTAATAGGTTACCTGGGGAAGTGGAAACTATTTTCTAAGATGTGATGCATTACAATCTAGTTTAGAGTGCACTTCATGGCATAGAACCCACCTGCTCATGCAAGATTAGGAGTACTAAACCAAAACACTCATCATAGGTGTTTTTACATATGCTCTGGGGGTGGGGCGATTTAATTAAAGCAGCTCTCTTGTGTATCAGCATCCCCACACTTCAAAATGACAGCAGGGGCATTTTAACTAATTCTATTTCTAAGACTGTATTCTAAAGCATTATAAATAATGTTGGTATACTAGAGAAAAGAAAATTGTCAGGAAACCTGTGATGAAGTCGATTCAGCTGCTGTATGGTGGTAGAATAATCATTTCAACAGTTCAAAAATCATCCATGCATCGTTTGTAATGACTAAAGATGGTCTTCTCAGCAAGGATATTCTGGTACTTCATTACACTGGGATAGCTGATATCCAGCAAGAGTCTCATTTAATTTGCAAAAGCAACTCTCAAATAAAAGAGTTGAAATTTCAAGGCACAAAAGTTGAAAAAATGCAGATATGTGCTCCAAGTTATTGAAGCAATGACTAAGACTGTGACATTTTAATCACTCAGATTACTATAAAAGAATTCAGTGTGACAATTTTCTTTATAATTACTATGATTTACAGCTAATACCCTTACTAATTTATCTTTAAAAAAACTGTTTTGCAAAATCATTAGGTAACTTTTAACACACACTTGAAGCTTTCAAAATGTATTATTTCTAAAGCTTTACTTACTTTCACCTTCCTGTAGCATTTTCAACAGCTGTGCATTTCTTGCTTTTACTTCTTTATACTTTGCCTAATATTAAAGAGATGTAAAGACAATTTATTTACACTACAAATGGGTCTCTTTAAAAGCAGCTTTTAATGAAGTTGGATTTGTAAACTGCTTTAACTGGATTGTGTGTGTTATACAGGGGTCCTATTGCCTATTTAATTAAATTAGAATCAGGTATATGGGGGAATCCAACAGAAATATTGACTTAAACCAGGGCTGTCTCCAACTGGCATCCCATGGACCACATCTGGCCCCCAAGGGGCTAATCTGTGATTCCCCAGGCTCTCAGGCTTCCCCACTGCTCTCCTGTTACTGCCACTGGAGTCTCCCTCCCTTGTCCAGGTTCTGCTGTCTTCCCCTGCTCCTGAGGGGTGGGGAGGTGTGAGAGGGCCAAGGGAAGGACTCTGCACTGCATGGGGGTAGTGGTGCGGCACAGCGGGGAGAAGAGGGGATGGGGTCTGCACAGTGCAGTGCAGGGGGAAGGAGAAGGGTATTTAGATTCACATCTGCTTAAAGTTTTGTGGCTCTTCCTTCCCCTCCCTTCCCACAAAACAAATTCCAGAAGTGACAGACGATCATACTATGGTGAGACCCATAGAGCTGCTGTGGGTGAGGCCCTGTGCTATACAAATATTAAGGGACATGGTCACTGCCCCTAAAAGGCTTGCAATTGGGGGTCACTGCCCCCAAAAGGCTTGCAAAAGGCTGCCCCCAAAAGGCTTGCAATTTAAGATCCTGCTAATCATTCCAACCCATCAGATTATTAAATTACATGTTTGGTCACCAATGCCAATCCTGGCAGGTTAATTTTTCTCTAGTTTTACCTACATCTGTGTTTTCTGCTGTGGTATTTTTTCCTCGCTACATTTCTATGTCTTTCACCCATATTCTCCTCAGGAAAAATAGAAAGTTTTCAATGTTGTGATAAGCTGTCACACTCCACTTGTATACCAATCTGGTCACCCAATGTTAATTTCATAAAGTTCCATCCTGCAAAGTTAGCTGTTACAACCTTCAAACTTGCTCTAAGGTTTTATAGATGGAAGAGCCAACAGCTAATTAACAGAATGCCAATTCAATTGTACAGCAGCAGAAAGAACACAGCAAGCACTTACACTGAAATGGGTAGATAAGATATACAACAGGAAAACACCCTCAATCTCTCTATGCAAGTGTACTGAAATGCCATCCCACCTGCCATGCTTTGAAACATTTATTTCTAGTTTTAGTTCTAATTTAACTGTCATAATAGTTAATTCTTCAAAACTAACAGCTAAATAAAAGCTGTCAGACAACCTTTCTAACATCACATTAACATTAGCCTACAAGTCTTCCAAAATAGAAATCCTACATCTCATTGGAAGTGATGCATCTTTAAGAAGAATCCTTGTGCATTTTATTTACTCTAATCAATGGCGCTCTAGGTTGTGAACAGAACATGTAGGAGCAGCAGCAGCAAAAAAAAAAAAAAAAAGAAAATAAAAATTATATTTTAATAAATTTGGATTTGAGAGTCCAGCCCTGATGCACAGTGTCAGTAGCTGCTAACTTATTAATACATTCATTTCTTATTTACCTACAACTGGAACTGATGCTCAGTATTTCAGTCAAGTAATGTTTTTTATATGAAGTTCAACTGTTTGGTAAACAAGATATGCAGCTTACACATCTGTTCACTTTTATTTACACAAAATTGTTACCTTTTTACTTCTGCTCACTCCTTTCAAGCAAGAAGGCATAAAAATTGGTTTGAAGGGCCTAATAATAAACTGGCACTTGGTGTTTTACTCAACTTCAAATCTTTGCTGTAAAATAATGTCAGTTCCTCAAACTTCCATCCTTGCTGTTTTATATAATTTTTTTAATGTGCTATTGATCTTATTTTCCGATCTAGAAACTTAAGAAATTTCTCATCTTGTCTTACACACAACAGTACTATGTCATTCAGTACAGATTCATTTCACAAGTGCTAAATATTGTTTCTAAGCTTTGTAGCAGGTTGAAGGAAAGGGTAGAGCAGCATTGTGAAACTCCATTTCAGTGCTACTAGACTAGAGTTAAAAGGCTGTCCTTATACTTCAGTAAGTATAATTTATTTTGGACAGTTAGATTGATCCATAAACTTTATGATCTTAATAATCACGTTAAAAATTAGTTAGCTACAAAGAACATTTGAGAAACTGTGTACTCCAAATAGGAAAAAAAACTGCTCCTGGATGCCTGGCTTCATTACCAAATACAATTTCTAGATGCTGGTCTTACTTACCAAAGCAAGGCCAATCCATGCAGTATCGGAGAATAACTTTGGAGAGAGATGCTCTGGAAAGGAAATATTTTTGTGGCCAAGACAAAGCACCCATTCAGACCAGTTACATTTTAATAAATGCTTTGGATAATTAAATGTGTAGAAAAAAAGTTAGCTTCTCCTACTAGTAAGCAAAATGCAATCAACTACCTACCTCCCATTGAGCGATTATATCCTTCAGCTGCTGAATTTCAGCATCTTTCTTTTCAAGTTCTAACTTCAATCGTTCTGTTTTTCCATCTTTCAAAACACCCTCCTACAAACAATCAACCACAGAATTTTAAGTAATGATACCTGCGTGAGAATTTTTGCCTTACAAATAATTATTTCTAGTTTTCAAGAATTCAGATGCCCTTGCCTGCACTTAAGCAAGGAAAATGATATTTTGTTAACCTGGTTACTTTGTTACAATAATTTAATGCCAAATTTGTGCAAAACCGTTTCCCATATTTGCTTGGCTATGCATACACAGAATATAAGGCAGTAAGATGCCTCATATAAAAATGCTTACATACTAGAGAATATCTGAGAAATATAACATAAATATGACATTCCTTTATGCAAAAATTTCATTTAAAAATGTTGTTTAAGTATTATAAGATGCCTGCACATGGCACTTGAAAAATCCTTTTAAGAATAGTTTGACAGTATTAAAGCCTTAAAGGAGCATACTCTATGGAAGGGTAAAGCAAAACCAGAAGAACGGAAAG